AAAATACAAGTTTGCCACACCGACGATCACATTAACGAGGCGTAATGTGGCAGCGGCCTAGTCCTGCTGACAATCGATGTCTGTCTACTCGTGACAGTGTGTCGTGGTGGTGACAAGTCGAAAGTGAATTCTTCGCAGTCCAGGTTCGAGTCCCGCTGGGGGTGCTGATGAGACGAGTTCAGGCGAGGTCTACGCCAATCCAGTACAGTCCAGTCCAGTCCGGCAGAGATGAGAAGAAGTTTTGGGAAGCAAGACTGAATTTTCAGCTCACTCGTGCGATTGTGGAGACTTCAACTTCCGGTCTTCCTTCAGCACTTTCCGCGACCTGGGCTCTGCCTCCGACCCATAATCTGGGCAACCCTATTGGGCAGATTTATTACTGCATCTTGAAGTTTCCGGTTCGTTTCTGTGGGCATGTTGATGCCACTTGGCACCAGCACAATACAACGGATGTCAAAATTGCTGAGCAGAAAGTTAGTCAAGTGATGGACCTTAATGTTTATAGGCTTTCTAAAACTACCATAGCAACCATTCAGAAGACCGCGGACAATATGCGTTCATCCAAGTCGTCCTGGCAAGACAACCAAGTTGCAAAAACGAGATAAAATTCCGAACAGTCACACCATCTGGATCCTCACATTCTTGCCTAGACGGCAGATGCGGCTGGAGGTGTTGGTTGTGGACTGATGGTGGAGCCATTTGCGTTGTGAAATGGGAAGAGGCCTTTGAGATGTTGTCGAGTTCCGCCGCTTGACATGACCCTTCAGACGGTGTTCCCCCAAATCGACTTGATCTCGTTTTCACCTCGTCTCCTCAGCGCCGTCGACGGGACACGAGATCGGATCGTGTGCATCAACCACCGACATGCAACCACTTCTTCCGGCGGCCGCAAACGCCAGCTCTTGACGACAGATGCGACCTTCGCGACAAGTCAGGCGCACCGGCCCACAGTCATGCAGACAGTTGACTCATTTTACAGAACATGTGCCTATAACATACCGTATTTTCGTATTAGAGTAGAGTTTCGAGACTACCAGTAAATCAGTAACATGAGATGTATTAGCCCAATTTGGTTTAAGGTGATGAAGCTTCCATCCTGCACCGTCGCGGTTCGAATCCCGTTGGGGGTGTTGATAAGACCGATGCGAGGTGGAAACTGCAGTCCACTTCTGTCTGGATGAGAACAACTTTTGGGAAAGCAAGGCTATGTGAAATTGAATGAAAACGTCAGCTCAACTCATATCATTGTGGG